GCTTAGAATGACAAGTACAGTTCCTGAATACCCATATGAAAACTCTTTCAACTTGCAGGTAAACAGCTTAGTTCAGGAAGATGTGGAAGATGGCTACTTATACAAAAAAATCAAAAGAGCATATATTTCAATCTAATGATTCTCACATCCTAGTACTGATTCATTTATTTAACTAATTATATCCTATATATTCCAAACTGTCCTATATATTCCAATATGTATTCTGTTGGTTGCTGCCAATGCAGAAGTCAAGGCAAGAACTTGGTGCATGTAGTTTGTTGCACAGTTGATCTGAGGTAGTAAGGGTGAAGGTCCGTGGAAAGGAAAACTAGGAGTGAGAAAAAAATCAATCAAAATGTATGCTACCAGAAGATACTACTGTGGACAATCAGACTTCAGTTCTGCTGGGGACTCTATGCGGAACTCTATGAGACATATGCAAAACACATTACAGAGCTGTGTCTCCTAAAAATCAAAGGCTAGAACATTCATTGTGGGCTCTCATCTCCATTGGTTGGGGTCTTTTGAAACCATTAACTCCAATACAATTTAGGGCTCCCAGGTCAACTTGTACCTTTGATAAAAGAGATGTTTCTGGAGATGCTAACATTAGGAGTGAAATCCTGTCAAAGTTCGTGGGAATGTCTGCCCCTGACATAGCTGAGGTAAGCTGAGATGGCCCACAAGCCTCCCAAGGCACCTGCGACAATGTGAGTCCAGTGAGGAAATGGTTTCACCATATTCGGATCAATTTGTATTTCCCTCCAAAACAACTTTTTTACAGAAGTTATTATGAGGACTGCCTGAACGAAAATAACTCGAAAGTTATGTTAAGACAAAACTTTTCAAAATCAACTATCACTATAGTGATTGCCAAGATATAAGAGATAAATGAAAAGGACTGCCAACTTCGAACTTTGTGTCTGGAATATTACATAACTTCACCTTTTCACCTCCAGACTCAGGTCAGGCCTGGCATACAGGCCTGGGGTGAAACCCTGCAGCTGCAATCTTTGCAGAGAGTGTAGGGGACAGAACCACCCAGCTAGTCCAGGAGCAGAACATCTTGCCAGAGGGGCACAACAGGTTCACCCCAAAGGGCAGCAACAGGAAGGAACTGAGCACAGCAGCCAGACCCAAGCGAGGCACAGCTGGATAAATCCAAACTTTGTAGATCTACACCTGAACTTCAGTTGATGCTAAGGCTATAACAGCAACAAAGATCTACAACAAAGGTCAGAAGACAGTGCTACACAAACCGACAATGAGAAGGAGTGAAATGCAATCTCAGAACCCAAGCCCACCCCTAACAAGTGCAGAGGCCACTAACACATTGGGAATCACACAGCTGAAAGCAAAGAATCAATGGCTTCTGGAATAAAGAAACAGCTGCAGAAAAGTATAGAGGAACTCAGATTGGAAATGAAAAGAGCAATCCCTGAATTAATAACATCTGCAGCAAAGAATCAAATGCAGAAACATATGGAGGAAACCCAATACCTACTGCAGATGACACTAGCTCAGCTCAAATGTATGAATTAATAGCATTGATACTAAATAAGGAACAGCAGAAAATCATAGAAGAACTCAGAGTGGAATTCTTTTCTACTAGCTCAGCTCAAATGTATAAATTAATAACGTCGATAGTAAATAAGCAACAACAGAAAATTATAGAGGAACTCAGAGCAGAATTATTTTCTGAAATAAAAAAGAATTCTC